CACTGGTAAGGCTTGCCAATGTGTTCGTACACTGTTACAATTTTCGTATGCTTTCTTTGAGTAACGTCCATTTCAGGCAATGGCCGTAAGACAACTAATCAACAGTCGAAACAATAGTGTCTGGGCATGATAAAAATCTGATGCAATCACGGATGACGCATTATTTTTCAATGCCAAACAAATTTTATCAAGCACTTCGAAAATAGATTCATATTCCTGCACACCACTGCAAATGATCTAATCTGAGGAAAAAATAGAAATTGATTACACCCTGTCACTAAAACTGAGAGTATGGTGAAAGAAAGGAAACTAAAGCAGTTGTTTCAGTTAATTTGCACAAGGATGTAATTTGCATAGAATAATTGTTAAAGATGTTTGATAATATATATATAATTCTATTCAGGTTCATCTATCTATCTCCCTCTTTCTTTTCAGATCTATCTATCTATCTATCTATCTATCTATCTATCTATCTATCTCAGTCTGTTCATTATCTATCTATCTATCTCAGTCTGTTCAGATCTATCTATCTATCGCACTCTGTTCAGATCTATCTATCTATCTATATCTTAGAACATACCACCTTTTGTTTGAACCCGGCCATTTTGAGCAAAACTATTGGAACACATGACCGACAGGGGTTTCTTGTTGCCCATGTGTTGCTTTTAAGATTGATTGTTTAAATATTAAATAGTTCTGAATGGTTTTGGCTTTGGGTTTCACCTGTAAAGACCGCCTAATTATTAAAAAGGATAAAACGTCACGAAGAGAGTATGTCCTAAGCCGTTTAACATATCGAAATGTAAATACCAGGAAATAAAAGCTGAAATTCTGAAATCTTGTCTGAATATTAATTCATCTTTAGACCTTAAATCCAAATGTCTTCAGTGAACAACAAAATTAAAGGAATTGGTCTCGCCCTTCCAAAACATTTGAAAAGAAATATATATATATATATATATATATATATATATATATAATGAAAAAACAGACCACTTTAAGGTACCATTACAATAATTTATTTCACCCAAATCCTTTTTGAAGGACTCCGGATCATCAGGTAACACTTCCAACAACGAAATGAAAGGAAAAATGGGATTAGAAATTGACGGGTAGTGTAATTTTTGTAATTTAACAGGGAGGGTGATAGTTCTAGTTAACGAGACAAGGTAGAGTATAGGGAGGGGTTAATTTCATATTTCTCTTAAGCATGTTTTATATTGGGGTAGGAGGAGTGACCTAATCGTGACCTATTTAGATGGTTAACTTAACGGAAATGATATATAGGAATGGGAGGGTAGTGGGGAAAAGAAAGGAAAATGGAAAAGTAGAGAGAAGATAGACAACAGTAATACAGATATATCTAAATGAGTGTTACGGCAAAGAGAGGAGAGGGAAGTGAATCGAAAAGGCTGTAATTTTTTTTTAACAAAATTATGTAAAAGATAGATTTCAATGCTTGATAGAAATTTAGATGTCTAAAAAATGATGAATGTTATTAATTTAAATATTTAGTTTTTAAGTAAATAGTTTAGGGACTTAATATAAGTTAACTACTATTTTATTAGCACATTAGGGACTTAATATGAGTTAACTACTATTTTTATTAGCACATTTATCGAGAACATATTAAAGAAATATTTAAAATTATAATAGTTTATTTACCCGACCAATTGTACTTTCATAATATTGTAAAAAAAATTTTGATAACAATAACATCTATATTAGTTTTACTTTAAATCTAATTTATGAATGCAATTTTTCTTTATTATTATATGGGTAAACTTAATTAAGGTTTAGGTTTCATTATTTAATAATATTTGAGGGTAATATTAAAGATTTTGTTTTCTTCTTATATGTATCTCACAAAAACATATTCATGCAAATCCACATATACATACGTCCATTTACATGTGCAAATACACACATAGACACACGTGCAACAATATACACAAATGTTCATCCATCTTCATACATAAATTACATATACGCACATACATTTCTCAATCATTACCTATATTTTAACGTTTGAAATTTATTTAGATTTTAGTTTGATTTTATAGTTAAAGTTTAACTTTAGGTGACTTCTGAAGTGCTTCATTATTAAAGGAATTTCGTTAATATTATTATTACTATTAATAGTTAAAGAGTGGTATATTTAAAATTATCAATTTTAAGATGAAACTCCCTTAAGAAGATAAAAATACACTCTCAAAATTTAATTATAGAACATTAAAAGAGAAAGTGATACTAAATATTAAAAAGACCAATTTTAAAATACCAAGAGAATGACCCAAGTACTTCCATTTAAAAATATTCTATACACGTATAGACACATACATATATATATATATATATATATATATATATATATATAATTATCCATCCATCCATCCATCTACATATATATAGGTATACTCATATACATATATACACCCTTATATACATATACAACCATATATACACATACACACACATATATACATAAATACCTACATACCTACACACGATTATATACAAAAGAAGCATATAAAAAGAATTCTACCCATAACTATCCACACATGCATATGTATTTATATTACAATGTTATACATCTAATCACAAATATATTACAAATATTAATTCTAAGGTATATACATCTACGTACATATACAGATTACAAGTAGATTAATATTCAAATTACTACACATATATAAATACATGTATACATATATATATCCGTACATACACACACAAAATACATACACATACACCTATACACATTTACAAACACACACCTGTACACATACATCCACACATATGCAAAATACACACATATAAATATATACACACATATATACAATGATACCTAGCACAAAAATAACGTTAGTACTTAAACATACCCCATACTTATATATTTATACTCACACATATGCATATATATATATACCTATACATATACACATATACCTCCATACACATGCGCCCACAATTAAAAGAGTACATATATCCACATAAGCACCCTTATCCAAAACGTTCATACATATTTATATAAATAGATAAATTCACATATAAATGTTCATCTGCGTACATATCAACAAGCATAACATCCATGTCTACATACATTCATTTCAAAAAACAAAATTAATATTTTCCCTTTTTAAATAGTTGTTTCTAAACATACTTCGTTAAGTTGAGGTGGTTTTTATGTCTGCATTTATAAATCAACTCGTTATGCTTGTTCAGCAGTATGTCCGGATCCTTATGCTCTATTATTAAGATTTTTTCTTTAATGCACAAATTGCATCGGTCTCTGAAGTTTATCGGAGTCCTAGCTCTCGTGATGATTCTCCATTTTACTTGTGGGGTTAATTTGTTTGATTTATATTTGAAGGATTGGCGATGATTATAAAACCGTTGCTTCCAATTTCCCGCCGATATCCCTATGTAGATCTTCTTCTGTTTGATATCTTCCTTGGGGAAAATTGTAGCCTCGTATATCACGTTTTCGGACAAACATATTCCCTCTACTGGACAAACAGATCCTTCCCTGCAGTTACAGGTAGATTTGGTCTTTTGGCTCGTATTAGGATCTTTTTGTAGTTGATTATGAAATTTATATATATATATATATATATATATATATATATATATAAATAAAATAAAACAAATAGGAAACTTATATCAATCTAACATGTTTCAATTTTATTAAAGCTTCGTCAGAGAAAACAGATAAAAAGACAGAAACGCTGGTATTTTCAATTTTGTTTGGATCACTTCTCATTAATCTAACACGTGCCCGGTACATTAAAAACGTAGATAAGTCAATGTGTATGTAAGTTTGTGAAGATTCTTGTATGTCTAAGTGGTCATCGCATGGCAATGTGTATTCGTAATTCTGTGTGTGTGTCTGTCTATTGAGAGTTGTAGTGTCTTCAATTTTGTGCGGTTAGCCAGCGCGGCGGGATGTCACATGATTCTAATTTATGGCTTTTCACTTTAAACACTTTGACGCATTGAATGTCACCAGTCAGGTTTTTCCCCACTGTTATTATAGAACATATAATTGCCCATGCATGCGTTTAATCTTTTCATTTTCAATTCAATATAATTTTTTCCATCATTTGTTTAAAAAGATTAATTGGATGTCGTATCCAAATCACACCTTGAAGTAATATGGAAAAACAGCACCAGCTTACAACGCATCAAAACGATTTAACTTTTGTCTATAAAAAGAAAAAAAAGTAATAATCACATTCCAGTAACATATAGACCCGTAAACAAAGTTTAAAACTCATTTGCAAAGACAGGCACGAAAATGAACGCTTGCTACACTATCTACAACCACATCACGATTCAGAAGACTAGATAATATCATATAACATAAATATAACAAATTTTATTTCAAATTTTAAAATATAGGACCAGAGATCCGGATTTTAAAAAACTTAAGACATTATCTCTAAACAACAGCACATCATATATCCCCCAGTTGCCTATATATGATAACTGCGCAAGGAGTAGCGCTATATGGTCTGAAGAACGCGAGTGGCGTGAAACTGACAGTCACCGCGTAGCATCAACACAGTCTATATCTATAAACGCTGTATCTCCGATATTAAGCAGGCTTCCCCATTAAATATAGTGAATTTTAAACAATAGGTGTGTGTGTCTGTGTGTGAGAGGGGTGAACAAAATAGATAGATAGATAGATAGATAGATAGATAGATAGATAAGGATTATCAGTATGAAAAGATGAATCAGCTAGCCGAGTTCAAATTCTGAACGAGTTTGTTGCGTTCTCTTTTACACTAATAAACTTGGGAAAGGCACGAAACAGTCTATTCTTCCGAACATCTCTGAGTTAACTTCATCTTTATGTGCTGTATCCACTCAGGAAATAGACGATTATGGCTCTCTACAACATCCTGTTCCTTGCATCTCTTAATAAACATTGTCTTTATTTTATTTCTCCTCGGCCCTCTTCCACTATCCATTGACTCAACCTTATCAAGTCGGTTATGCGTTGTTTTCCTCTGTCTCTCTTGCCCTCTATCTGTCCCGTGAGTACTAAATTTTCCAAGCCCTCTTTCCTCATTACGTGCCCTAGAAACCCCATGTGTATCTTCCAGACGTTAAGTATTGTTTCCTTTTTGTTTCCATTTTCTCCAAAGCTTCGTCCTTACTCACATGTTCAGTCCACAGTATCCTCAGCATCCTTCTGTAGAACCACATTTCTGTTGCTTCAAGTCTCCCTTCATCTCTGAGGAGATCGTTCAGCACTTACTGCCTTACAGGAGGACACATATCACGTAACAGTTTAGTAGTTTTTGTTTGTTTCTAGCGAAATTTTCCTATTTCTCAGTACTTGGCCTATCTTTTGAAATACGCCTTTGAATTTCAGTGTCGCACTTTCCGTCCTCTGTTAAAACACTTCCCAGATATTTCACTCTTTCTTAATACTTTGCTTAGCTTTTGGAAGGCATTATAAGTATTTTCTCCAGAAGACATAGATTACAGCGGCCCCTGAATTTCTTGGGGTCTGAGCTCTGGATATGAATTTCCACTCCAAATGCAGTGTGAGACCTTTGTCAATAAGATCCCAGTATTGCTTGGATAAAGCAGTTTGGTTCTTAAGAGACCAGTTGTTGAAGGAATGCCAGTGATTATATAATCGTTGTTTCCAATTCCCCGCAGAAGTTCCAATGTAGGTCTTTTTCAGGCCTACATTTTCCCGGGGGAAAATGGTTGCCTCATATACCACGTTTATAGACATGCATTTACCTTTTTATATATATATATATATATATATATATATATATATATATATATGTATGTAAAATAAAGAACAAATAGGAAACTTATATCAATCTAACATGTTTGAATTCTGTTAAAGTGTCCTCAGAGAAAACAGACAAAAAGACAGAAACGCTGTCATTTTCAATTTTGTTTGGATCAGTTCTCATTAGTCTAACACGTATCGGGTGCATTAAAAACGTAGTTAAGTCAATGTGTATGTAAGTTTGTGATGATTCTTTTATGTCTCAGTGGTCATTGCATGGCAATGTATATTCGTAATTGTGTATATGTGTCTGTCAGTTTATTATCTATCTATCTCAGTCTCATCATATTCCATCTATTTATTTGAATTTGTTTACTATCTATTCATCTGTCTGTCTATCTATATAAGTTTCTTCATATCTCTCTATATATATCTATCTATCTATCTATTCCAGTATCATCATTATACATATATCTCAATTTGTTCATTATCTATCTATCGATCGATTCCAATATCATCATTATCCATCTATCTGAATTTGTTCATTATCTATCTATCTATCTATCTATCTATCTATCTATCTATTCCAGTATCATCATTATCCATCTATCTCAATTTGTTCATTATCTATCTATCTATCCATTTATCTATCTATCTATCTATTCCAGTATCATCAATATCTATCTATCTCAATTTGTTCATTATCTATCTATCTATCCATTTATCTATCTATCTATTCCAGTATCATCATTATCCATCTATCTCAATTTGTTCATTATCTATCTATCTATCCATTTATCTATCTATCTATCTATTCCAGTATCATCATTATCCATCTATCTCAATTTGTTCATTATCTATCTATCTATCCATTTATCTATCTATCTATCTATTCCAGTATCATCATTATCCATCTATCTCAATTTGTTCATTATCTATCTATCCATTTATCTATCTATCTATCTATTCCAGTATCATCATCATTCCAGTATCATCATTAGATAGATAGATAGATAGATAGATAGATAGATAGATATGAACACATTGCGATAGATAGATAGATAGATAGATAGATAGATAGATAGATAGATATGAACACATTGCGATAGATAGATAGATAGATAGATAGATAGATAGATAGATAGATTCTTCTTCTTCTATGTGTTCTGTTCCTTTAGGAAGCTAACGATCATGGTTCGCCACAACTTCCTATTCTTTGCCAATTGTGTTATCATTCCTAAGCCCTATTCTCCTATCCATTTACACAAACTCGTTAGGTAGGTTATATGCTGTTTTCCTCTGTCTCTTTTGCCTTCTAGAGCACATAATGAGGAAGGAGGGCTCAGAAAATTTGACACTCAAAGGACATGTCCTTTGAGTGTCAAATTTTCTGAGCCCTCCTTCCTCATTATGTGCCCTAGAAACAGCAACTCTATCTTCTGTAGAACGACATTTCTGATGGTTCAAGTCTCTTCTTCATCTGTGAAGAGATTGTCCAGCATTCACTGCCATATACAATAACTGATGACATAACATTTCAGTACTCTTTTCTTTGTTTCTAACGAAATTTTTCTATTTCTTAATAATTTTCTTAACTTTTGGAAGCTATATTTTGCTATCCCAATGCACCTTCGGATTCCCGTGACACGTTTTCCGTTCTCTACCAAATATTTAAATTGTTGTACTTGTTTGATTTTGGTATCGCCAATTTGTAATTTAAATATTGGGCTCTTCTTTTTGCTGACAGCCATATATTGTCATCTTCTAATTGATATTTAGTCCTTTCTTCTTGCTTTCCTTCACTAGCTTCAGTAGGTATTTTTGTAGATTCTTTAAACAAATAAATAGATAATTAAAATTTTACAGATAGATAGATAATGCAAATTTTACAGACACACCAATGTATGCTATATGATGGTTGAGTATGTTGATACAGTCTTCTAAGTGTTCGAAAGTTTATGTATATTAAGTGTCTGGTGGCAAAACAAAGAAGACACGACAGAGGTTTAAGAAAAAACAATTATATTAACATAAAAATACAAATGGTAAATTGATGCAAATGTTTCTTGTTGAAAGAAACAGATAAGTTGAATTGCAAAAGTCGTCCCGCAGAGGCATACGGTAGGAGAAGGAGGGTGAGTTGTGGCATACTGTGTCAACGGCTTTTGGCGAGTTGTCTTTGGAGATGAGAGGTCGCCTTCCGATGAGCATTATGAATATATGTAAATATGTAAAAAAAGAGTGCTATGGTCTTTCCTCTTTAATATGTCGACTTTCCGAATTTAAACGCAGTACTAGATTGGCAGCTAGGTCTCATCATTTTACGGTTGAAATTGTTAAATATAACCTTCTGTTCATTATTTACATTATTCGGACTATTGTCCTCATCTTTCGCCATATTTATTACAACATTTCGACCGTTGTACGCTTCGGCCTTCTTCAGGTGGTTGGAATGTCAAACTGAACCCTTTATTTCGCTCACTGGTGTAGACTGTTCTAGTTCCAAGTGCCATGTTTAATGGATGTCAGTTATCAATTAACTAGAACAGTCTACCCCAGTGAGTGAAATAAAGGGTTCAGTTCAACATTCCAACCACCTGAAGAAGGCCGGAGCGTACAACGGCCGAAACGTTGTAATAAATATGGCGACAAAGATGAGGACAATAGTCCGAATAATGTAAATAATGTACATAATATTTCATCTCAGAAATATAGACAGATACTGAAAGGCCGAAACGTTGTAATAAATATGGCGACAAAGACGAGGGCAATAGTCCGAATAATGTAAATAGTGTACATAATACCTCATCTCAGAAATATAGACAGATACTGAAAGGCCGAAACGTTGTAATAAATATGGCAACAAAGATGAGGACAATAGTCCGAATAATGTAAATAGTGTACATAATACCTCATCTCAGAAATATAGACAGATACTGAAAGGCCAAAACTTTGTAAAAAATATGGCGACAAAGATGAAGACAATAGTCCAAATAATGTAAATAATGTACATAATACTTCATCTCAGAAATATAGACAGATAACCTTCTGTTCTATTCAAATATTTTTTTCTCTTGTGAACTCTCTTCCGGCTCCTTCCTTTTCTATCAACTTCTTCCTCCTCTTTTATGTATCGTGTCCCTTTCAGAAGTTTGGCGATCAGAGCCCTCCACAATTCCTTGTCTTTTGTAGCTAAGTAAATTTTATCATTTTGTTATCTCTTCTAAATTCTATTCCGACATCTATTCACACAAGTTCATTAACTCGGTTATACGTGACCTTCTCCTGACCCTCTTGCCATCAATATGTTATATTAAGCGTCTGGTGGCAGAACAATGAAGGAATGGCGGAGGTTTAAAAAATAAACAATTGTATTAACGCAAAAATACAACAAATGGGAAATTGATGTAAATGTCTCTTGTTGAAAGAAAGACATAAATAGAATTGTAAAAGTCGTCCGCAGAGGCATATGATGGGAGAGGAAGGGTGAATTGTGACTTACTTCGACAACAGCATTTGGCAAATTGTCTTTGGAGATGGGAGGTCGCTTTTCAACAAAGTCTGTGAGCCCAACCAAGATGCCGTCCAACTGCCGAAAATATCCCTTTGAAGGGTTTTTATGTCCTTTTTTAGGCTTAAATCAGCTCAGGTTTTTATTTTGTTTCTTTAGGCGGGAGTGGATGCTATTGGATGGAAATTCTGGATTTTATTGCTTATCTTTTCTTTGAGTAAATGAAGCAGTCCACACTGGCATAAACCTAATAGAAAACATTGGAAAAGGATTGGAAAAGGTGGGCCAGGATCTTTGACTCCACTGGATTTCTTTCCATGGGGGACATGTGAAAAGTAATGTTTATTCAACTAAACCTTGATCTTTTGAGAAATTGCAAGCTAGTGATATATTAAACATCTAGTGGCAGAACAAAGAATAAACAACGAAGGTTTAAAAAATATACAATTGTATTAACATAAAAATACAATAAATAGTAATTTAGTGTAAATAATATGTAAAATTGTAAAAGTCGTCCTCTGTTTAAATACTTCCCTGATATTTAAATTTTTTTACTTGTGTGGCACCATGCATCCACGCGATTTAAAAGAAATATTTATAGATATATGATTTGCTTTTTTACGGTTTACCAACCATTTGAGGATTATTTAAGGCCAAAATGTATTTTAGGTTTTAAGAATAATTCTTTCTTTTTGGGGGGGAGAGGATTGAACCGCCATGCATTCAGGCGATCTGGGAGAAAGAAAGAGAAAACGAAGAAGAAAGAAAGAAAAAGTAATACGAGACGGGTCATAGGCGAACACACACACACGGCTTAAGAGACGGGAATAAGAAAAGGGTTATTATTGATAGGTATCAAATGTCGAAAATATCTAGGTCACCTACGAACAAGCGTTGACCGATTTCCGCTTATCCGCGAAGAATGGAATTGTGTTATCAATAGATGTCACCAATTAAGAAATCCATTTTTGAAAACGTTAGATTTTGATAGTGGACGAAACGCAGATGTAGCTTGCAGTTTTGACTGGGTGTGGAAAATTAAAATCCCACACAAGTAGTTTTCACTGGCTAAGTTTTTCTTTTGACAGAATAGACTTTTGCCCTGCGATAATAAAAATTTTGTTATCAACACATGAGCCGAAGGAAACTGACATATTTTTATTTCTGCTTTAGAGACGCCAAATTGGCTTGAGATTTTGAGAAAATTCCTTTTCTTAGGCCATGTCAGATAATCCAACTGTCCAGTGAATTAGCGATAAACTGCTTGACAAACGCCACGTGTTGAAACCGAGAGTTGTCACATCAACCGCTCATGATAAGGGCGATTTAATTAATTTTTCTTTTTTGTTAAGCAAGGTATTTCTTTTCCAAAACAAAGCCACGGTTTGTTCACGCCCGACTAAGACGTCATTGGCCAAGTGGATCACATGACGCACGAAGGAGGAGGAAAGATACCCGACCAGGACCTCATTGGCCGAGAGTGGTCACGTGACGCACGAAGAAAATCAGTCGACGCCTCTATCCAGAGTATAAGTATGAGAAGCCGATACGAAGAAGTGGAGAGAGCAGTTCACGCCCCTCAGAAGCATGGTGAGAGAGGGAGGAGAGAAAAGAGTTACCAAAAATGGAAAAGAGTGGAAAATCCCTAACCAGAAATAAGAAGGGTGGATACGTATTTAGAATTATCGAAGAACCCCTGGCGCCGACAGACCCACCCCAGTTTTGACGGCGTCAATAAAAACGAAGCCCCGCCAGACAGAAATCAGTTCAGCCCCGGACGGCGGAGGGAAGAGTTCGTTCGCCCCTAGCGGGCAGAAGAGGCCAGTTCGTTTTGGCCCTGAGTGCAGAGTTCGTTCGACCCAAGCTGGCGAGAAGAAGTTCGTTCGTTCGCCCCGACGGCAGAGATGAGTGCCCAGTAGTTCAGACTCTGGAGAGAAGAAGTTCGCGCACCGACGGCAGAGATGAGTGCCCAGTAGTTCAGACTCTGGAGAGAAGTTCGCGCACCGACGGCAGAGATGAGTGCCCAGTAGTTCAGACTCTGGAGAGAAGTTAGTTCAGCCCCGGACGGCAGAGAGAAGAGTGCCCAGTGTTGAAACCGCCTCAAGATAGCTGACCAGATTCACGCAAAATTTTGGACTCTTCTGCAACCAAGAACAAGTAGTTTGAAGAGCGACTTAGAACCAGACCACAGAAATAAGTTTTTCGACTTTCGTCCAAAGACACACCGAAACACAAATTTCTTAGAGAGTAGGCAACTTGAAGCGTTAAAATTCGCGTAGCGAAAGCGTCATGCCACAATCCACAGAACGGGTCGGGAGGTAGACACAGTCCTATGTACCGAACAACTAGACATAAAAAGTTTGTTACCTTTTTCTTTGATACTTTGAACTTTGTGAGTTTTCATTTTATTTTATTTTATACATATTTGTGTGTTATCACCCCCGTTGAACTCAGCTTGCA